TTATAGTCTGGGGCGGTCTGTGGGGCCGGGGGCGCCTTCCAGAATTGGGATCAACTCCTCGCTCCCTCCCTGCCCCCCCCGAGCCCCCCCTCCCTGTGGGCGGCGGAGAGCCCCCAGCCAGGCCCACCACGTCCCCTCAAGGTGGGGGCCCCCCAGCGTGGCAGAGGGGCTGACAGACCCCAGGGGTGGGTGGGGTGGGGGCTGCCTCCTGGGTAGAGCGTGCCCCCCCCGGAACCCCAGGAAGGCTGGGGGTGCTCTGCACCACGAAGGCTGGGCTTCTGTGGGCACCCCAGAGCGGAAGAGCCATGGAGGCTGTGCCCCCCCTTTTTTGCTCACTCCCTGCTGGGACCCCTGCCCCCCCCCGGGAAAGAGACCGGAAAGGCCACCCCAGGGCCAGGCGGGGGAGGGCGCCTCCCGCTGCTTGCGGGGCTTCTGGCCCAAAGCGACTGTGGCTCTTGGGCCCTCCCAGCTTGCCCTCCACCCCTCGACCCCCCCCAGCCCCATCAGACCTTCCTGGACCCCCAGGACTGCCCTCCGGCGGCCCAGCGGGGAAAAGGGGTCCCGACAGGGAGCTCCGGATCATCACGCGTCAACCATGGCCAATACAGGGCGAGGATCCCCGATTCCTGTCAAGGCTCCAGACGGACCGGGGGTGGTGGTGGCGGTGGCAGAAGGAGCTCCCCTGGGGGCCCCACCCATCGGGGGAAGGAAAGGTCAAAGAGTTCGGGGCCGGCCTGGCCCAGCCCAGCCCCGCTTGTGGGAACAGCCAGGGTGGGGGACTCTGGGGCCACTTGCACGGAGGCGGCGGCTGCGGCAGCGTTACTGGGCAAAGTCTCCATCAAAAGCAAAGAGAAATACTCAATGACAGCTTTTATTTTGGAATTCCCCCCCCCCCCAAAAAAGGGAAGCTTTTCTAAGTTCCTAAAAATAAAATAAAATCCACTGAAATAAACTAGATTTTCTCTTTTAACAATAAAAATACCATCCCTTCCCCTCCACCCCCCAATTAACTTTGGCAGCAAGAGGGACGCCCCTCCAAAGGGAAAGGCGGCTGCAACCTGGACAGTGGGAACAACAGCGAAGGACGCAAACACACGAGGAGGAGGAGGAGGAGGGCCGCAGGAGGACACGGGGGGGGCGTGCAAAAGGGGGGGGGAACAGAGGGACCCTTCTCTTCAGCCTCCACTCCTGCCCTTTCCCCCCCTCCCGAATTTGCAAGCCTCGCTGGAGCTTGGGGGGGGGGAACGACATAAGAACTCCCCTCCCAATTTCTGGACGAGGGGGCGAGGAGGAAGGCTGGTCTGGAGACACCTTCCTTCTGCTGCAAGGGCTGCCAAAGTACACAAGGCCTGCTGGGGAGACGTAGAGACCCCCTCCCCCCCCCCGGCCCTTCCCTGCCCCCAGGGCACAACAAACAGTCCTGTGTCCTTATGGCTCTCTGGGGAGGGCTGGGCCAGGGGGAACACGGGTGTGTGTGTGTGTGGGAGGAACCTCCAGCAAGATTTGGTACTGATCTCCAAACACCCCTGAGGAACAGAGGCCAGGGCAGGTCTGGGACGAGGGGGGGGGTGAGGGCTGGTCTCCGCCTCAAACGCCCACCTGCAGCCAGAGCGCCAGGACCAGAACCACCAGGAGGGCCTGCCTGGGAGACACGAGGGGGGGGAACGGGACGGGACGGCAGCACCACCAACCGACCGAAAGTCTCTCTCATTGTCCTCCTCCAGGCGCCACAAGGGCTGCTGGAACAAACTACTGGTCTTGGGAGACACAGGCAGAGGATCTTATGGGGGGGGGGGAGTCCCGAAGAGGTGCCGGAGAAATCGCTTTCGCTGGACACCACAGGGAGCTGGGCTGCCTCCTCCTCCTCCTCCTCGGCTGCCCTTGCCTTCTGTCAACTTCGGCCGAGCAGCATGGCCGTGGCTGGGAATCCGTAGAGACCCCCTTGGTGGTGGTGGTGGTGGTGGTGGCGGCGGCGGCGGCAGCAGCCGGGGCCAGGAGGAGGAAGGAGGAGGAATCCTAGAATCCGTACTTGGCCTGCGTCTGCCGCCGACTCAGCTTGTTCTCAGCCCACGTGTTCTTCAGCTCCAGCTCACGTTCTTTCGCCTGCCCCAGAGAAAGAGATGCCCAGGGGTGAGTGTGGAGGGGAGGGAGTGAGAAGAGAGGCCAGGACCCAACTTCCCCATCACCTCCATGAGCCTCTGCCCCACGGTGGAAAGCCCTGTGGGACCTGGAAGAGGACGCATGGGACAGAATCCATGGGGGGGCCAAGGGCGACCCAGAGGCAGATGGGTTTTTCCTCCCGGCAGCTTTTTGCCCAAGTGCAACCTTTGCACTTGTGGGGGGAAAGGACGTGTCAAATGGGGGGAGGCCTGGAGGGGGGGGCCGCTAAGCAAAAATAAGAAGCGGGGTGAGGGTGGGGGGAGCCCCACCCTCTCTGCTGCTTAAAAAACAAGGGTGCTGTAGCGTTGGACAAGATGCCCTTGAGAGGAAAGCTGGCCTAGCCTGGCCTGGAGGGGGGAGGGAGCCTTGGAAGCTGCATGAGGCACGGCAGACCGGGGGGGGGGGGGGGGGTAGGAGCACAGCCAGTGGGAAGCGTGGCAGCGTAGGGGAAGAGAACACCTCTGTGGCCCCCTGACGCAGCACCGGACTCCAGGAGGTCCCCCCACTGAAGCCAATCACGGGAGAAGGGAAGGACCCCTTCCTGCGGCCCAGCGGCTGGGGTGTCGCTCCCCGCCCCACCCTGCCCTGGGAAGCAGAGAGGCCTCCAGCCTGGGCAGGGAAGACAGCAGGGAAGGCAGCCGGACTCTGGAGTGGGCAGGCGCCACCGGCCAGGAAGGCGACAGGCTTCTTCTCTGCAAGCACAGAAGCGGCTCTCTCTCTCGGCCGGGGAGACGCCCCGAGGCAGGAGACCCAACGAAAAGGGGGCCAGGGGTGGGCTTGGGGAGAAAGTGGGGGAAGGGGCTTGGGCCGCTCACTCGAGGAGGCCAAGCCGAGAGCCTCACCTGGTGGATCAGGTAGGTGATCTGGTGCTTCCTCCGCTGCTGCCCCGTCGGCTGCTCCCCTTTTTTCTGCGAGGAGAGACAGATCAGCCACACTTGTCCCGGGGACGGGGCTTTGCGCCAAGCGGAAGCGGCACCTCTTCCCGCTCGAGACTGTCCCACACGCCCGCCCATGCCCACTGGCCCCCTTCCGCCCAGGCTAGCCCCTCACCTTGCTGAAGGACTTCATGTTCTGCTCCTCCGTCAGGGACTTGGTCAGCCACTGCTGGGCGCCGCTCAGCTGGTCGTCCCCCTTGATCTCCACAAAGTTGACCTCCTCCCGCCCCCGGTTGCGCTTCCCTTGCAGGCGCTTGAACTGCCCGAGGAGGAGAGAAGGAAGGAGAGTGTTGGGCCAGGAACCTCGCTGGCCCCTGCAGACCCTCGCCCCTCACCCCGCGCCCCCTCCTCACAGCTCCCCAAGCTGCTGGACTGCTCACAGTAGAGATCTAAAGCCCCACCCCAACCCGGGGGTGGGGGGAGGAAAATCAGAGGAAAGTTTCTGCATTGAGTCTTTCAGATTTGGGCCAAGTTTCTGCTTTTCCTCTGGAAAAAAGGCTCAGGCCTCCCATGGCGTCCACATTTCTGGCAATCTTAAATCCTGGCCAGGAGACACACACGCCTAGCCCACACCTCAGGGGGCCATCGGTCTCTTCCCCCTCACCAGGACCCACCAGCCCAAGCTGACCGAGGGCGAGCCCCCGCCACCTCAGAAACCTTCCGTCAGGCCTTCTGGCCAAGGATCAAGCGGGTTCCCCCCACAAGGAAGCCCCACATCCCCTCCGAGGCTCATGGGGCAGCCAAGCGCAAGGGGCCTTACGTAAGCAGGCCCAAACAGGAGGGGTCCCACTCCAGGCGTCTCGTCGCCCAACCCCTGGCCTCAAAGGGCCCCAGAGCAACCGCTCACCGCTTCATCATCCATGAAGGAGGAGGAGGAGGAAGAGGAGGAAGAAGAGGAGGAGGAGGCGGCAGCATCGGCGGCAGGGCTCACTTCCTGTAGTGGCCCCAGGGCCGGCTCCGTCTGCTGGTAGTAGCCGCTGCTGTAGTAGTCCTGCTGCAAAGAAAGACAGCGGAAGGGGCTCCTCAGTGGAGAGGTTCTCCTGGGGGTGCCTGGCCTTATCCTTCCTGCCCTCCCATCAGCCAGACAAGGAAATCTCCACACCCGCACTGAAACAGGGGGCCTGCGCCTTCAGCCGACTGCTGGAGCCCACTCTTTGCCATGCCTGCGTTGCTTCGTGTGTGTTGTTCTCCTTTTGAGAAAGAGATGGTCATCACCAAGTCCATCTCACTTGCCAGTCCAGCCAGCCTTTTCACCACCAATCCAACGCTCAGGTTGCCCAAAATCTCAGGGCCTCCCTCCCCATCAGCTCTTCTTCCCCAAAGCCCCTCCTGCCACCTGTCCTGAACCTGCCCCCAGGCCCAGACCCTGCAACGGCCTGATGTGAACTCTCGGGCTTCCCCCCCAGCCCAGCATCTCTCCCTCGGCCAACGACTCACAAGTAGCACTCTTTTTTGTGACGCCACAATCACACAAAGTTGATTTGTTCCTCCCCCATCACTGACCCCCAGAGCGAGAAAAATGACAGCTTCCTACCCCCTTGGAGGCAAACCTCTCCCCCCCACCCCTGAAGCGCCCTTTCCTTTTCTGAAGCAAAACAAAAAAGGCCAGAGCGAGCTGCGGGGCAACGGGCTGATTTGGTCCACTCTCCAGCCTGAGCACCTAATTTCCATAAGTCGGCACAACAAGACCATGCAAACATCATGTTGATGCTGCCAGAGATTGATATCGGTGGAGAATGACAGTGAGTAAAACGACTGGAACTTCACTTCAAATCTCCACTCCACCGCGAAACACACACCCCCGGCCGCCCCACCCTCTGAGCCTGACCTGCCTCATGGAGATGGGCCGGGGGGGGGGTAAACGAGGACAGCCAGGTAGGCCACCTTTGTACTCTTTAGAGGAAAAAAGGTGGGAAGCAAGTCTTGCAAAATGTAGGTATGTATGAAGGAAGGAATCAGCAAAGCTTGTTCCTTTCCTGCTGGCACAAAAAAAAGAGCGCCATTTCTGGTCATCAGGCAGAAGAACAAGATGCCGTGGAAGTCGGAGCCTCGTCCACCCACCTGAAAGTAGGCCGCCGGGCCACCAGCACCGCCGTAACCGGGATAGGGGGCCGCGAAGGGCCTGCTGCTGTAGTCTTCACCTGGCTTCGGGGCCCAGCCGTGGGAGGCGGGATGGGCGCCTGTCTTGAACTCCAGTGGGGCATTAGCGCCAGCCACATCCTGGCCTTCCGGCTCCGTTCCTGGGGGCAGATCGTCGGGCACTGTGGGGCCCGGGAAGACATAGGACGGCGGGGTGAGGGCAGGGGGCTCCCTCCGCTCGGGGAGGGAGAAATAGTTCTCGGGGGCCACCTCCTCGTCGCTGTCGTTCTCCTCCTGCGTGATCTGCTTGGTCACCTGCAGGGCGGCATTTTTGGCCGCCGCCTTGATGGCCGACGGGGAAGGGGTGGTGGTGACAGCAGCAGCAGAGGCCGGCTGGAGCAGCGGCTTCTTGAGAGAGGCTGAGGAAGAGGAGGAGGCCGGACCTTTGGCCCCAGCAGAGTTCTCAGCCGCTTTCCGGGAAAAGACGTAGGGCAGGAGCGGCCGGTTGGTCTCCTTCACCGTCAGGTTCTTCGGCTGGGGAAGCAGCGCCGACAGGCTGCTGCCCTCGCTGTGGCCCTACGAGGGGAAGGAAGAGGAAGGTCCATGGGAAGGAGGAGGGCAGAGGCAGTGGAGGACTCTCCTCCCCTTGGCATCTCAGCCGCAGCTGCCGGTGCCCTCTGTAGCCCACAGAAACATCTGCCTGCCCACTCCCTCCCTCACTCTCCCAAGAGCATTCCGTCCATCTCAGCTCATCGGAAGAAGAAAAGAGTCCCAAGAAGGAACGATGCCAACGGCTTCCCTCCTCTGGCCTCCAGATGTGGGAGAGGAGGGCAGCCACGCCCAGGTCCCTTTCCCCCAACCCTTGCCCCAACTGCAACCCAGTGGCGAGCCTGGCGCTGTCCTGACCAGCTGCCGCCAAGAGCCCCGAGATCCAGGCCTGTCCCTCGCCCTCTTGGAGAGCAGCCCCACTGGCGCCTGTCACTCCACCTCCCTCGTAGGAGGAAGTTCTGCAGCGGACCGCCTCCCTAGCCTCTCCCTGGAATCGCTCCCCCTTCGCCTCCCGTGGATCACACCTCCTGCCTCTCAGTCCACAAACAAACACACACACACCCCTGTGCGGAGGCTGTGCTGCTTGGTAACTGAACAGATCCTGCTTAAGACAAGGCCAACCCCATGTCAGGATCCTCCTGGGCCCCTTCCCTGTGCGCGGCGTGCAATGACTGATGTGCTCTGGAGAGGAGGCTCCTGCTGCCTGTGCTCCATGCCAAGCAGAAAAAAAAGAGAGCCCAAGGTGCTTTCCTTTCATGCAGAGAAGCTGCTGCCCGGCCGAGGCACAGTTCCTCTGACAAGAGGGAGACCCGCCAGGGAAAGCCACCTTCGTGGGGAGCGCTTCACCACCAGCACTCCTTTGAGGTCAGGCTGAGCTGGTCAGCAGGGAGACCCTTCAACTCACCACACCCCAGGGGTGAGCGGGGGTGTGTGTGTTTTCCAAAGACCTGAGCAGCGCTGCCCCGACCAGTGGCCCAGAGGCCTCGTCTTCGAGGCCTGGTCTCGCCCACAGATCCTTCCGGTTGTTCCAAACGCGAAAGGCCAAACCCCACCCTCTCCAAAGCAAGGTGGCGACAGGCCTGCGACCTCACCTGGGCGGCAGGTTGCTTCTTGGCCGGCTCCTCTTCTTCGGAATCTGACTGAGAGAGAGCAAGAGAGACAGCGCTGAGCGCCAGGAGCCGAGAAGGGCCCTTCTCCACCAAGGAGGCTTCAGTGGCCCCCGAGAAGGCCGGGGGCAGGTGGCGAGTCCTGCCCAGAGGGTCCTGGAGGCTGGGCACCCAAGCCGAACCCATCGGCCGTTCCAACCCCATGGCCTTGGTCGGCGTGGGCACCCATAAGGCCAAGCGGGGCCACCGCCACGTGGGTACGCCGGCCCTCAAAGACAGAAACGTGGCCGAGCAGGGGGGACGGGCGGGCGGGGAGGAGGAGGAAGGCTACCGGAGCGGCCAAGGCAGCCCGAAGGCCCCACCGTTCTGTAGCGGGAGGAAGGGCCCCATGCAAAGCGCTCCTCATGCAAGCGGC